TGATTACATTCATAGGTTTTCTCTCCAGTGTATGCTCTTGTATGCATTTGAAGAGGACTGTGATGTGAAAAGGCTTTACCGCACTCATTTTCTTCATAGGGTTTCAATCTAGTATGTGCTTTTTCATGCCTGTGAAGATGACTGTCACATGCAAAGGCTTTAACACATTGAGTATGTGCAGAAGTTTTCTCTCTACTTTGACTTGTTTCATGCCTACAATGATAATGGTACATGTGAAAGCATTACTACATTTAATACATTGTTTAATTTTTTTATCTGTATAAATTAATTTTACAATTTAGTCCTATTTTAAAGAGGAATTATATGTTAATGTTTTATCACCATGTTAACAATCTTGTTTTCCCCCTTCATTAAAGCTTGCTTTTTATCTTTAAAGATAACTGATAACAGCTTTTCTTACATGGTTCCCTTTTACAGAATTTTTTTTTCTGTATGAAAATTATCATGTATTTGAAGAGAACTGAAAAAACTCAGAGCTTCCCTGCTCTTATTGCATTAATAAAGTTTTCAATACAGTGTGTGATACTATATTTTCTAATGAACTAGGACAAACAGAAGTATTTACACAGTCCTAGTACTCATGGTACTTTTCTGAAATGTGAGCTTATTGATAGATTAACAATGAGAGTAGAAAATCAATTACTTGTATAATTGTACATCACAATCAACAAGTATACTCAGCATGGGGTTGGCTACATTTCTTCTGTCTATTCGGAGAGAGAGAGTTATGTTATACCTTTTCAGATCCCTATGCTCACGTGGTTTGTGTCCAGAGTAACATATGATATACCTAGTAAAGGTAGAATAACAAATATAAGGTTTTCATATTGAGTTCACAGTTTGACTTTCTGTCCTCATAGACGTGTGGTATCTGGATTAAGGCCTCTCCACAACAGTTACCCCTTGATTCGTGACTCTAACTGCCCCCTCATTAAACTTAACAAGTATATGGGTTAAACTACTCTCTCTATGGACTATTAGTGTAATAGAGAGTTTTGCAGATATACTTATCACATTTTCAACAGGTATATCTTTTATAATAACAATAATATGAAATAAATGGATTGGCAATTTTACAGTATAGCTCTCATTGTACTATGAATCAAATGGTAATATAGATTAAGACATTGTTTCCTTGACTTCTTTCTTAAAAGAATGACTTACCCAGTAATCTTGTCTACTTCCAATATGCAGGATAACTATGTTTTCATTTGGTGTCACCTACTTATGTAGTTTCTCTAGGATTATGAATTGTAGGCTCAATGTCCTTTATTTATGGCTAGAAACCAATTATGAGTGAGTACATCCCATGTTCATCTTTTTGGGAAATGGGGGTGGTGTGGGATGGGGGAAAGGGGAGATGGGATAGAAAAATTAGAAGGGGAGGATGGGGAGAGCTTGGGGGAATGGGATGGTTGGGATAAAGGAAGGGTGGATATGGGAGCAGGGAAGTATATATCTTAATTCAGGGAGCCATTTTAGGGTTGGCAAGAGTCTTGACTCTAGAGGGGTTTATAGGGGTCCAAAGAGATGTCCCCAGCTCGGTCCTTGGGCAGCTGAGGAGAGAAAGCCTGAAATGGCCTGATCCTACAGCCATACTAATGAATATCTTGTATATCACCATAGAACTTTCATCTGGCAATGGATGGAGATAGAGACAGAGACCCACATTAGAGCACTGGACTGAGCTCCCAAGGTCCAAATGAGGAGCAGAAGGAGAGAGAGCATGAGCAAGGAAGTCAGGACCGCGAAGGGTGTACCTACCCACTGAGATAGTGGGGCTGATATAATGGGAGCTCTCCAAGGCCAGCTGGATTGGGACTAAAAAGCATGAGATAAACTCTGAACATAATGGACAATGAGGGCTGCTGAGAAGCCAAGGACAATGGCACTGGGTTTTGATCCTACTGCATGTACTGATTTTGTGGGAGCCTAGCCTGTTTGGATGCTCAACTTCCTAGACCTAAATGGAGGGGGGAGGACATTGAACTTCTCACAGGGAAGGGAACACTGACTGCTCTTCAGATTGGAGAGGAAGGGGGAGGGGAGTGGAAGGAGGGGAGTGACAGGAGGGGAGTGAAAGGAGGGGGAGGGAAAAGGGATGCAGGGAGGAGGCAGAAATTTTTTAGTTAAAAAAAAAAGAATGAATTGCAAGTGCAGTTCACCTATCTGAAATCAATGTATACGATTTTGTGAGAATTTAATAATCAGTGATGCACTTTATTATTTACACTGTTGCTTTTCTTTATAACATATAGGATACATTACAAATACTTCAGAGATACATTTGTATCAGGTTATACATGAAAATTACCTTTCATGTCTTCTAGAACTTTGACAATGTTTTTCAATATTATGATCTTTCCAACTGTATCCTAAAAATATAGTGCCAGAAGAATGTATGTTATATGAAAAATTGTAAAAAAGATTAGTTTCCATTTGAAGCAAACCTTACAACCATGCCTGATTCATTTACCCCATTCTTTTATCTCAATAATATTACAAAAGAGTATCACTAACCAATGAACAGTTGTCTCCTTATTTGAAATATGAAAGATAATTAAGTCTTACCTATACTAGTGAGGTTCCTGTAGATCTCCCCCATCACATCTTTGTAGAGATTCTTCTGGGAAGGATCCAGCAAAGCCCATTCTTCCAAAGTGAAGTTGACATGCACGTCATCATAGGTCACTGCATTCTAAAATATCCCATACATGTGTACAACAGAAGGCATGAGTTTGACAACACTGTTAATATGTACTTCTTTGACAGTATAGTCATATAATTCTGGTGCTCTCCATACTTATTTCATGACATAGACATCATAATTTAATCACTGAGTCACTTTAGAAGCAAACTGAATAGGAGGTTCACCTCTGTCATATCTGAACCCTTTGAATGGTTCACCTTGCAAGAGAAATGCCTACTAACCAACAAAAAAAGATATGTAAACAGATCAACAGTACAGAGTTCAGATAATAGAAATTGTATGAATGATTATGTCCTTACTACAAAAAAGAAAAGTAAGATGAAAAAAGCTGGATGCGTTGAATCATGCCTCTTATCCTTGCACTCAGAAGGCAGAGGCATGTATTTTTCTATCTGTGTCTGAGTTGAATATAAGCCTAGTCATACCATCACTTCTAGAAATTTTAGAAATACATATTAAATACCTGTCTCACATAAAAAAACAAACATTAAAGATAGAAATAACTCATAGCTTTTTATGAAGTTTCAACAAAGTTATGCATTTACTTCAACTCTTTATTCATCTGCCAGAAACATGAAGTGCCCCAATTTAAACTGCAATATAAATAAGGTTTTACTAAAAGGCACAGTATGTTTAAAAAGTTACAAATGGACAAATGAAAACAATAGCAATTAATATGCTGATGACAAATAATCAACACAGAACAGGAAAGATGGTTCAACCATACAGAGTCCTTCTGGTCTTGCATATAGGTGGGCTCATGGGGGATCATAACTATCCATTATTCCAAGTTCAGTGTTTCTAGTACCATATTTTGATCAATTTAAAACCAGGTACTCACATGGTGCATATCCATGCATACAGATAAAACACTCTTTTTAAAACAAAAATTCAAGACAAACAAAAACAGGCAGGAAAAAGATGATGCACCTGCAATCCAATGACTAAGAAGGAACAGGCAGTATTAATGTCATGAATACATGCCATCCTGAGAAACATAATGATACACACTCTGTAAAATTTTAAAATTCAAGATATGGATGAAGCTCAGTACAAGAGCACATGCTTGATAGGAACAAAACCATCATACAACAATATAAAAACAAAAAAGCCAGGAATGCTGGCCCATCTTTAATTGCAGCACTTGGAAGTCAGAGTCAGAGGATGTCTGAGTTTGGATCCATCATGGTATATAGAGCTACTTTCATGATAGCTAGGGATACACAGAGAAACCTTGTCTTCAAAAATAAACAAACAAAACTGAAAAGAGTACGCTAACAAACCACCTTAGCTCTAGACAGCAGTTAATTCTACTGAATCTTATGTGATTTAATGATAGAGTTCATAATGGTGGGGAAGTTATAACAGCAAAAGAAAAAAGCTGACTGTTTAGTTTCAACCACAACACAATAGGCACAAAGAACAGGAAATGGGTTGAGGCTATAGAAACTCATATTGTGGGATTCCCCTCTGTATGCTGTGATTATCGTTGGTTAATAAAGGAAATACTTTTGGCCTGTAGCAGAGCTATAGGATCTTAGAGAGCTTAGAGAGCTTAAAAAGGAATTCTAGACACTAAAAAATGAAGCTTAGCTGCATTTATTTCCCCAGATGGGCTTTGCTTACTGATGACATGCTGTGGCGCTTTAAGAGAGGTTTTCCTGATTTAGAGATAGAAATCAAAACAAAATCAATAATAAAAAAGCTGCGCCATTTTGAAATGCCAGCATTCTGGGTCATATTGCCAGCACAAACTCTCACTCTTTCTGGAAGACCAGCTATGGGGTCTGTGAGCAGATTGCTAATTGCAACTTAGATTCCTTGTGTTCCTGAAAATGGGGCAAGGTAAATGGCTCTCACAGGCAGCAAACATGCCTCTGCTATGTTGGACTGTGTGGAAAAAGCTGGCAGGCCATATGGCACAGCCTAAGTTCATAAGAAGTCCTTAGCATTTTAAGAAGCACTCCTAAACAGTAAAGAATTACAGATACACAATAGGACAGATTCATACATAAAAGACCTCAAAATGAGACATAGTGTGTTTAAAAAATGTACATAGGCTTGGGAGAGAGAAGGAAAAAATAGTTATAAATACAAGTAAATGGGGGGCTGGAGAAATGGCTCAGAGGTTAAGACTGCTTTTCCAGAGGTCCTGAGTTCAATTCCCAGCAACCACATTGTGGCTCACAACCACTTGTAATGAAATCTGGTGCCCTTTTCAGGCCTGCAGGCATACATGCAAACAGAACACTGTCTACATAATAAATAAATAAATCTTAAAAAAAAAAGAAATAGGTTCAAAAAAACTCATTGCAAGGAAGTGTTTTAGGGCTGAACTATGAACTCATGTAGTCAGATCCCAAACCACCTTTGTAATGTCAGCAAATACAAGTAAATGGTTTATAAAAAAGTGAAATGAAGTCTTTAAAGAGACAGAGTACAGACAGTCATAAATTAATGGAGTAAATAGAATAAAATAAATATCACAAAGTAATAGAATAAAGACAAATAAGGCACGTAAAGATGTCTTATATACAGAGTGTCTAGATTATGTATATTATTGTGTTTTCTTTGAATTTTTTGACTGTAAAGGAGTTAAGTAACCAACATATATGCTTTAAAGGTATGTCTTCACAATTTGGGTCTAAGGATTTATTGCTTTGGAAAAGAAGTTGTTCTTTTGTGTCCACAGAGGATGAGAACCTCTGGAATCTTTCCAGACTAATGTGGTTTGATGAATCAATACTGCCCAAAAGGTTGCTGTGAACAGCCCTAAAAAAATCACTTCACCAAATAAAAAGCAGGAAGCCGTTTGGAGAGAACTTTGTCCATATTCCCAAATACTATTCATAAGTGTTTTTTTTAACAATTAAAGGGGTATATGCTATAGAAATTTGCATTGGTATGGATCTTAGTTTATTGATACAAATTTTTTTTTCGGGGGGGGGAATTTTCGAGACAGGGTTTCTTCATAGCTTTTTTTGGTTCCTGTCCTGGAACTAGGTCTTGTAGACCAGGCTGGCCTCGAATTCACAGAGATCTGCCTGCCTCTGCCTCCCGAGTGCTGGGATTAAAGGCGTGCGCCACCACTGCTCGGCTTATTGATACAAATTTAAGGTCAATTTTATTATATGCATTTCTGCTCTTGATTAAGGTATTGTATATGTGCAGCTCATTTTAAAATGTAATGTATAATTAAAATATAGGTAAATAGAAAGTCATCTATAATAGTAATAGTCAAGTTTGTATTCATGTTAGTTAGATTTTCTAGCTGTACAGAGATGTATTTTAGATAGATAGGGATTCTTCAAATCTTTCAGAAACTGGTAGAATATGACATTTAAAATGTTTTAAGAGCTTAAGACTTTCATGACAATGAGACACATCTGCTCCTGGCAGCACCAACCTACTGCAAGAGGATGATGGGCATTGAAGAAGCTCCTTATGAAGTTTGTTAGCCATTTGGGCAAGAAACTACTCTTGCCTGGACTGCTTGATGAACTGGATGTGTAGGATCCACAGAGAAATGACTGCTGAACTTGCCTACAGGTGAGATGATTCTTCTGGGTTCCTGATTCATGAAAGACTCTGCCAGACATTCTGCAGGACACAGAAGAAACTGATGCACTTTTCCATTGCAAGGCAGTACAGGTTTTCAAATTTTCTGCTTCCTGGAAATACCTGCTGGATACTATGGGCCTGTGGACTAAAGATTGGATGCCCCAACAACGCAGAAGAATTTCTGGTAATTGTCCAGGTAACAAGATGTCTGTCATTTCTAGAGATTTGGAAGTTGCTTACAATATAATTCCTGTTTATTTAGGTAATATTATGTCCTTCTGGGGTCTTTGATGGAGTTGAAGAATTTATAGTTGTAGTTAGTTTTCTTTAGTTACGATAAAAGATAAAATAGATAATATGTATTGTAACTGTAATTCTTGCATAATACCTGTTTTCTTATGTGTAATTTTACTGTTAAAATTAAAAACTTTCTTTTCATTTAAACTGAAAAGAGGAGGTGATATACGATTCCCTTATGCATGCTGTGATTATCATTGTTTGATAAAGGAACCATTTTGGGCCTAAAGCAGAGAGAGCTATAGGGCAGAACTTTGGTAGGGGTTAAACTAAACTGAATGCTGGGAAAAAAAAAGATTGAGTAACTAAGAAGTTATGTATCCCGGCCAGACACAGATGCTGGGAACATTACCCGGTAAGTAACAGCCATCTAGCAATACACAGATTAATAACAATGGGTTAAATTAAAATGTAATAGTTATTCAATAAGAAGCTAGAGCTAGTGGACCAATCAGTGATTTAATTAATACAGATTCTGTGTGATTATTTTGGGGCAAGCAGCTGGGAACAAACAAGCAGCTATCCTTACTATATCATATCACATCCCCAATGAGAAATTTCATCCAGAAAGGCTCCTCCTACTAATGGTTTCACAAGCAATCAAATGAAAGTTACCAAAAAGAGGCATATATTAAAATACATCTTCCTATCTGGGAGGTTTTTCATTTAATAAATTACATTCAGACCTGGTTCACTATAGGCTCCTGGTTATTTCTGAGGAAAATTAATTTAGTCACTCATAGTCCACAATAGCCCCTACACTGTTCAAATGTTCAAAGTCTCTTCTGATGCTCGTGACGCTCACATGACAGTGACTTGCCCCACAGTCATTCAGTCCCAAAGAAACACACAGAGGTCTACATTAATTATAAACTGGTTAGCCTATTAGGACAGGCTTCTTATTAACTAATTCTTACATCTTACATTAGTACATAATCCTTATCTGTGTTAACCACATGATGTGGTACCTTTTATCACTGAGACATTCTCATCTTGTTTCCTCTGCATCTGGGTGATGACTGCAGACTGAGCCTTTCCTCTTACCAGAATTCTCCTGTTCTGATCACCCCACCTATCCTTCCTGCCTGGTTACTGACCAGTCAGCATTTTATTAAACCAATATGTGACAAATCTTTACAAGGTACAAGATGATTGTCCCACAGTAAGTAACA